GGAAAAGATGAATTTTTTCTAAACGGTCTGATGAAATGAAAAAAGTTACGGGTTGGGTTTGAGGTAAGGATTTTTGGTTGTGTTGGGGTATGCGGTGGCTAGGGGTTGTTTTTTTCTTGCAGCTTTTTTTTTTTGTGCGCGTAGAAATAAACGTATGGTCTGGTATGGTTATTGTTGAACTTTCTGGCTTTTCTGCCCTTGAGTTTTCCTTCCGGGTGTTGTTTTCAGCGATTATTGAAGCCAACCATCGACGCACAGCGGCTGCAATAGTAAGAGTTAACACCGAATCGAACAATACCGGGGGAGGATGAGGCATGTTCGAGGGAGAGGGATCGCTGGCATCTTGAGCAGCGAACAATATCGAAGGTGGACACAACAGTCTTCGAAGACTCGGAGGAGGAGCGGGGAGTCAGTCCTGTGCTGGAGGCATTGGAGGAAGACTCCTGCATTGAGGCGGAAGTCGAGCTCATCCTGTACTGGGAAATGCGGTTTGCGTCGCGAAGAGGTCGCTGGGTGAGCGCGGATATTTTGAGCGAGATAGAGATCGTACGAGAACTCGAGAGAATCGAAGAGAGTAGAGTGGGAGAGTTAAGAACGGGCAGATGAGAAGTGATGCAACAAGGACCTTGAGGCAGGGTAATATACTGTTTGAATCGGCTGGTAAAACGAGTTAATGTACCCAAGGCTCCGGGAATGGCGGTGTTCAAGCGAGCATGTGGGCGAGCAGAGCAGGAACAGGGGGAGGAAAAAGCGGCTGGTGTGGAAAACCACAACAACGAAAACCGAAGTAGAAGAACAACGGCCTTGATCCCTGACCACTGATGATCGAGCCTTTCTCCTCCCGGCGACCAAGGGGGACAGATATGCAGCCGTAATGCACACAGGGATTTTTCCGATTCTGATTTCGTGGAGTTGTTGGGCTGTAACCTGCCTCGTAAGCGACGAAACAAAGAGGGCTTGGTTTGAATGTTTCAATGGGCCAGGGTGGGAATTAGACTATCTAAGTAGATGATGATATTTTTTAAATACTGGCGGTCCGGCAACTGGGGGAGCAGGTATACAGTACTTTGGGAATTAGCGAAAAGGTACGTGTGCTGCGCGAAGTTGAATTTAAAAAATCAAGTGGAGATAGCTGTCAGAAGTTTGGGCGATGGGGCAAGATAAAACACGATTGACGAAATATAAATCTCAAATAACAAACTAGGGTTTCCTAGAGATGATTCCTGGGGGAAATAACGAGAGCATCCACAGCCAGTCGCAGGCACCAGCGCAGTGGATCGGGGACGCGCCGACGGATCAGCGAACAAATAAGCACACCACCAGACGACTGCTTATATCGTTTCCAGGTGCCTCTGGAAAGGTCGAAAGTTGTCAAAGCTCTCCCATCCACAAACCACGGTTCGACTAAGAGTCATAGATACCATAGAATCAAAGCGTCATGGATCCAGACCCAGAGGCGCTGCTACAATTTTAATTTTCATCTCTTCAGAAAAACTTTCTACAGCCAAATAAACTTCCAGTAATGCCGGATAAGATGATTGACTACGAGAAACTATCTCGAAGAAAACAATTCCTTCCATTCGAGTAATTTCTTCCATGAGGAATCCTCAGCGCCCGCACCAGAACCAGAACCAGAACCATGGAATCTCTTCAGAAGACAACACGGCTCTCCGCTCCGGTCCAGCTCGGCCTCGTGGGAGGCAAATGTGCTGATACGAGACCTGCACACGCAACAAATCCAGCGGCGTGATTTGCTCTTCGCCACATATCGCCCTGGCACCAGCCTAACTAAGCCCCACCGTCAGCCTCCTTGGCTCCGGTTGCCCTGTGTTCCTAACGGATTTCCTTCGACTAGGAATACTACGATATGATTCCTTGTGTCTTGAAGGTTGGTGGGTAAAAAAAAGAAGAAGTACCCTGAAGAGGGAACCATGGCCATGCAGGATGACAACATCGTACATGAAACAATCCCGCGTGCTGCGTGTGTGTATGAGTGTGTGTGTGAGGGCGGTGTTTCTTGTGTAAAAATAAATAAAAATACAAAGATTTACTCCCCCACATAGGTAATCCGTGCGTGCGTCCGTGCGTGCGTGCGTGCGTGCGTGCGAATGACTGATAGATGGGGAGAGAGATGACTCGACTGTGATCTGGTGTATTCATTTAGAAATACGTGCGTCGCCTCCCTCGTCGTTTGCGCAGCCTTCCTTTTCTCCAGGTAACTAGTGGTTTTTGTGTTTCTCCGCCACGCCCCAACCATGTGGTTTCGAGTTGAATGAATATAGACATATAAAAAAGATAAAAGTAGATAGATATATGCCGGTGATAAAAGTATGAGAGAGACAAGAAGCACCGAAAGAACGAAACAAAAACATCAATAGAGGGTCCAACAAAAGGGTAAGGTAACCACAAAAAAGGAGGAGAGTTTGAAACGCCGCCCCACCTGGCCCATGTCAACCTCCTCCCGCCAAAACAACCCCTTCTGACTCGGAGGGATTGATTCATCTTGCCCTTTGGCCGCGCCCCCGGAGTGACCAATACATCCAAAGATCATATACAGAGATATGCTGGGCTGCTTTTCGTCTACAGTATCGGAGTTCCTGCTGGGTACCTTGTCCGCAGAGCCCAGGAAAAATTATGGATGTGGAAATTCGGTAACTTCGGATGAACCTGAGAGCGCTCAATTTAAATTCAAGAAGTCAACTCCTGCAGTATTTCGAATATCTGATTTACACCGAGAGCAAAAGCACTTCACTCTCACTCTCACATGAAGGGTGTGGATTCATAGTTTGAAAGGTAGAAAGGAGCAGATGAATAATAGTAACGAACATGACAATGAATATGCGCCATTCAATCCAGTTATCCATCTATTTTTAATATTAAGTAATTAATTTCGCCATGTATCGAATGGAATGGCTGAGGAGTAAGGTGGTATACATGTATACATAGTCCGCTCCTATATCTTTCAAGAGGTGCATATATCTCCTTGTAGCCATGCATGAGAAAGGGTAATTCGAAATTCTTGCGTCTTAACGTGCAGACGTCGCGCAAGGTGACCTGCATGAGTCCATGAGGACAGGGGTGATGTACCGCTTTTGTTAACTCTTTCTCTATCTCGAGGGGTGAACGTTAGTTTTTTCATTGTATGCATACCAACAAGTGTGTAAGAAACCTGCACAGGTACAGGTGTATGTATTCATTCCATCGCTTATCTTGGCTCAAAAACAAGGGAGCGCGAATGTGGGATAGCATATGTAGTATCTTTCATCTCCTCTGTCTTTCCCCTTTTGCTTCCTTGCAGAACTACCCGCCTCATCCTGACGGGAAGGACGGACGTGCATGCACGACGGAAGATCGGCAGGCGGGGATTCTAAACGATGCATCCGCTGCACAGGCGAGGCAGACAGGATGCATGCGATCCGTTCTGCGTATATAGACGGCGTATATCAAAGCGCAGACTGCATGAACGAGATATCACTACTCGATACATGTATACACCACTTTTTACCCCATGATTCTGTTGTTGCTGTTGTTGCTCTATAACTAACCTGGCAGGCGAGATCCTGTAGTTTGACTAGCTTTTGTGCGACAACTTAATAACTTACTTTAACCCCTTACCATTCCTTCGCTTACAAGGGGGCGTTGTTTATTTTTTTCATTTTGTTCTGTGCCCCTGAGGGCATCTTGCATTGTTCATCTCCGTTTAATGTTACCTACCAGCGAGCTAGGTTTATTAGTAGTATTGGGATTAAGAGAGAATTGTATGCATGGGGTGCTTGGAAGCCAGAAGCAACAATGTACACAGGTAAGCAGGTTATTACAACTAGTTAACTAGCTACTTAGCTAGATATGCTCGCTATATGTTGATAAACGCTTCTTCTGAGTTACCACCGAGCAGGAATGTCATTGAATGGGCGTTCAGCTTAGAATCTGTAAAGAATAATGGCATATAAACTAATCCAGTTTACCCTTCGTTGGTGTCAAGTAGTCATTACTAACTAGTTACGGAGTACCTAGGTGGTAACTAATTAGTTAGCCACACTAGTTACGTCAACGGATGAACAAGTTTTCCAGCAAGCGCATGCAGCTGCATTCTGCCAAAAACATGGGCACCGTCCTCAAGCTACCCTCTTCCAATTAACCTGACGATACAACGTTGCTCAACACGACCCTGTCAGACTGTCTCGCTTCACACAGCATCGTTCCGGGTTTGCTCGCCGTCTTATATCTATACCCCACTGCTTGCTTCATCTACCCCGCCACGACTCAACTCCAATTCAGCCATTCAGCCATGAGGGGTTCTCCAAACCTCTACGTATTCCCTGACACCGACGCTCTTGCAACACAGCTTCGGAAATATGTCCTGAAGTCCCAGAACACAGCCATTGCCAGACATGACGTTTTCCGTGTCGCCGTCTCTGGCGGCTCGCTGCCCGCTGTCCTTGCCAAGGCGCTCCTCGCCCCCACCAACGGCAGCGAAGAAGACAGCCCCCGATTTTCCTCATGGGAGATCTTCTTTGCCGATGAACGAGTCGTACCACTAGATCACGAAGACAGCAATTATCGCCTCGTAAAGACTGAGCTACTCGATAAGATCCCCCCAGAGCTCGGAACGCCTATAGTCCACCCAATCGATATTACACATATCTCTGACGATGATCCGCAGGAAGTAGCAGACCAGTATCAGGAAGAACTGATGCACTCCTTCGCTGCCAAGGACAGCGTGAAGTTGCCCGTCTTCGACCTCCTTCTGCTCGGCTGTGGCCCAGATGGACATACCTGTAGCCTGTTCCCTGGCCACGAACTCCTCCGCGAATCAGATGCCTGGGTCGCGCCAATTTCGGATTCGCCCAAGCCGCCACCGAAGCGCATTACGCTCACGCTGCCAGTTGTTATACATGGGTTGAGAATTGCTTTTGTGGCGACGGGTGGAGGGAAGAAGGACATCATGAGGCGGATCTTTGATACAGAGGACGGGAGGAGTCTGCCGTGCGCTTTGGTGAATGCCGCCGGTGCGGAGAAAGTGAGCTGGTTTACAGATACTCAGGCTACGGAGGGAGTGGCGTTTCCTTCAAAGGGCAATCTTTGAACGAGTGAGTCAACGGGGAATTTTTTATTTGTATTTTTTATTTTTCTTTTTATTTTCTTTCCCCCCCCCTCCCCCCGCTTCTGATGTGTACTTTCGTCTCAGCTCTATGTGTTATGGGATGGCGAGGGAGATTGCTTGGGCAGGAAAAGACAAGAGAAAATTGTTTTTATTTTATAGGACTCTTTTCGACTGATACCCAGCTGATGGCAGGGCATGCTATGCAGATGTTCTTATTCCCACCAGCTCTGCTGATATTCTATTTTTCTCGGAATCTTTTTTTCACCTCTGTATGCTTCAACAAATCGTTTCTTTCGTTTTTACTGTGCTTGGGCTTTAACACTGCTGGCGATTCCCCCAAGCCTAAGAGGGCAGAGTATTAGAATGCAACCGCCGTATTTACTTCTGGACTTGTACTCAGAAACTCCTAACACTAATGAAATGTCGGGCCACATCTTCGCTAATACATATCGAGTCTGTTTGGCCAATACAATTGTTTCTATACTAGTTCACTCAGAGTCGAATTTGGATAAGGATTGGGTACAAAAAATAATAGGGAGTCCAATTGTCCGGTGTATACCCGAAATGTTTTTCGTTCTCTGTTGTCTGTGATCAGAAAGTCCTTGGCTATACGTTTGGCTAAGCAGCTTAACAACTTAAATATGCCAAGCCTAGATAGACCATCTTGACAAAGTCAAAAGATCCTGCTTGGGGGATCCAACGTAGGGCTCTCCTATGATATTCTGCTGACCACCGACAAAACATTGGCTTGAAACAATGCCGATACCTACGCGAAGGCTTTCCCTCCGCGAGCCTCACATCGCCCAGCAACGGAAACCTCCCGATCTCGACCGCGAAGTTACGGTATGCTACACAAACTTTACCCATCCTTGCAAGACAAAGGCAATTGAGCCATGGAGAAGGTGAACGACGAAACAAGACATCCCGCCCTCTAACCTACGTATACGCATAGCACAGATCCCCGAAATCGAAAGTCCCCGGTCAATCAAACCCCGCTCAAACACCATATCGACCACTACCACAACGTCTACAACCGGGTTGACATCCGCACCATCCCGGAACTCAAATCTGCCTTCGCATAACCAGCCGATGTCAATCTCGGGCCTTCCACAGCCAGCCACTACCGCAGCACCAACAAACTCTGGAGGCAATGGTGGCAATGTCGATGATCGCGCCATCCCATCCCGTCGTCGCAGTTTCTTGCCACAGCGGAGCACCTGGCAGAGGGGTGGTGGAGGAATGGTTCCTTCGGGTAGATCACAGCTACAGATGGAGGATAATACATTACTGATACGGCCACGCATTCAAGAAGCCCATGCTCCAGCGCCCCAGCCACCTGTGTCAGCCCCACCTGCTGAAACCTCGGCTCCCGTCCCAGACCTTCCACAGCTACTTCCTCCGCTATCGCCGTCAAAGCTATCTAGACCGGTGGCAAGTCCTACGCGAACCCAGGCTGTAGGCGTGAGCCGATTGGAGCGACCGGGGTCGGCGAATGCGCCTAAATCGGACACATTGAATTGTGTAGATGGACCTACCTCCCGCACTCGCCTGGAGAGAGCTGGGTCCTCCAGCACCACCAGCTCGCAATTATCGAGACCGCAGAGTGTGCATATGGCAGCAAAGGTTGAGAGGCCTGGCTCGTCAAGCACAATAACCTCACAGGGATCGAGAACACAAAATAAATCCACACAGCGCTTAGAGAGGCCTGAACGGCTTGGATCAGGGAACACACCCATACCGGAGGCTAGGAAACTTCAAACTGCAAGCGTAACTCGATTGGAGAGGTCCGCATCGTTAAGGCAACCCATTGCGTCGACGAGAGTTTACCACAACTGCGAACCATTCGCGGCACCAGAGCCAGGTTGTAGGTTTCGACGAAAGGTCATACAGGTGCGAAACAAGGCGAGGGCAACATAAGCTCGACTCCGTCGTTAAAGGCGAGCAAGCCTCAGTTCTCTACCTTCCAGCAACATTACAGTCCCAAAAAGGGACCGAAAACCAAGCCGCCTATTCCTCCTGCCTCGACATCCCCTACAGTCACAACTGTGGGGGCACGAGCTGGAATAGAGCCGTCCTCACAGACCAATCCTCATGTAGCAGCCCTGCAAATAGAACTCCTCCAACTCCATCTCCTTCATACCGACTCTATACGAGCTAAACGAGACTGGGAATACAATGTTGAAGAGCAACTGAGTAAACAGTACAAAACAGTCGTGGCCAAGTACCATACACTTCTCGCTCAAGAGCAAGCAGCGCAGCGTTATATCAACAACCAAGCTCTTAGCAAATTAGCGGCAGATAGCAAACCAAACACGAACAAAAGCAGCACGAATGATCACAACGGTGCTTACGACTTCTCGGAGCAAATACAGGTATTGTCCCGTGTGATACAGGATGTCGCAACGCTTACAGATATGCGCGGGGGCAGATATATTTCGTGCGTCCGCACCTTTGGGAAATGGTTCGACCACGTGGCAAGGGTGAGACAGGGCAGGGCCGGAAGCCGGAATTGGCCCCGGCCCCAAGAATCAGCCGTTACCGTTAGCAAACGCAGCGGCAGCGGCGATGATGACGACGATTGTAATTACGACGCGGACCGGAACGGTGATAATGAGCAGGACGCAAGCAGCCACAAGTACGAATTCATACACCCCCTTAGCTTCAGGTGGAAGGAGGAAGTCACTACGCTGGCTATGAAACTGGAACTCTGCGCCAGAGAGCTAGACTGCCTTGATGTGGATATGCGAATGGCAGGCGGCGAAGAAACAAGTGTCGATTTAGATACGGGTGGTCAATCTGGGGATGGATATCCCCCATCGTCTGCGTTGGTTCGCGTTGTGAAGGGTCATAAAATGCTGTTAGCGTCGATGATTGAGGAGTTGGAGGTTATGAGTGCGGTTGAGGCGGATGTTGGGGAGTTGGAGGGGTTGTGGGTTCGGGAGGCAGTTGATCGGCTGTGTTTCTGTGGTACCGCTGCTTTTGCCAGTGGTGAGAGGGAAGAGAGACGGCCCGGTTTGGGCTGTTGTGTAAGCTGAATGATACCCCCTGGGGTTGGGCGTTTCGTTCATGATGAATTGGAGGAGACTAGGCTTTTTTCAGTTGTCGGGAGCCACTGAATGAAATGGTAGGCATGACAATAATATGGATATTTCTAAGGTGATTTCTTTTCTCTCTCTCTCTCTCTCTCTTCTTCTTCTTTTTCTTTTTGTGGTCCTGGACGAGCAATAATGGATAATGAATATGAACATGATGAGAAGGTCTCATGCTCTGATGATTGGCTTATACAGAGTTGATTTAATTGAATTTATTGAATACCTTTCAACATGGAATGACATATGCCATCCTCACTACCCAAGCTTGTACCGCTTATCATTAAATTTGAGGGAGGCAAGCGGGAACTTTTGGGAGCTCTTCGTTACATACTAAGAGTGTGGTTTTCTGGGGGCGGGAGATCTACACGGTCCAGCCGATTTTTAGCGCGATCCTTGACATGTTTCTGGCATGCGGCAAAGCAGCGGCATGACAGCGCTCAAGTGTCAAACGTGTTTAACGTTAGGAATCGGACACTGGGTAAGCGAAATGCCATTTCCCTCCATCGCTCAACCGATATTTGGCTACCGCTGTGGTTTCTTTATGTCTTGGAAGGAAAAAAGAGGGTACAACCATGGACCAAGGTGTACCATCTACAGTAGTGGAGGCATACCTGTAGACCCCATTGGAACCGATACATTGGACCAAACGTCTTTACAATTTGAGAGCAAGAGGGGGCGGAGAGAGAGAGAGAGAGAGAGAGAGAAAGGGTGGGAGGCATGCTGCCGTATGAACTAATAGATAACTTGTAGGTAACCGGAATCAATTGCAATACAGCTACTAGTACTTCAAGGAGCATCAAATCAAATACTAGTATTAAATAACTGTACCCAACTTCAATTCCCAACGCTAGGACAGTTAGGCTGCATGAGGTGCTCGTTAAGTCTCATTGGTTATAATTCCCATTGAACTTTGCTCTGGTTTAGCTATTCGTATCAACTAGAGTGTTGTTGAGTCTAACTAGTTGACTCAACGGTGGGGATGATGTCATCAACACTTATAAATCACGTGAATAGCAATATGTCAACATGTTCCAAGGTTGTTTCCGGCCCCAACAGACCCCTTGGGAACAATCGCAAGAGGAGGTCGGACTGATAACAACCTCGGGACATACTTGGGCACCAGCCTTTATATCGGCATCGGGGGTAGCCTTGGAGCTGCTATGATATCGGATTCACCAGCTTTCAACCTATTCATTTAGTGACCTGTGTGGCGTTTGTTTGTTCCTCCTCCAACTTCACCAGCAACTACGCACGCCGTCGCGATTGATAGCTTCTAGGAATCCGTCACTATCAAGAACAATCATCTCACTTGGCCAGAAGTCTATAGTGGTTGTATGTACATGGGAGTTTTTCTCTAGCCAACCTCGAAAACTCAGCTGTGCCAGCGCCGAAGCCCTAAGCCGTCTTAGCTTACTATCCATGCTGAATCGATCCTGGGAGACGTGTGGGTTTCTCGATTGATAATGCTTGGAAATTGAAAGTTTTCACTTAACTCGTTGCGGACCCTGTTGTTGTATGATTTTTCGCAATGAAGTCGGTTTTGGAAAAGCGCCTTCTCAGGCGCGAGCTTGGCGAGTATACGCCTTTCTCCAGCATCGCGGGAATATATGGAGATAAAACTTGGATTGAGGATATGGATATTGTCAATGAATTGGGCGGTCATACTGGTTGCGTTAATGCCTTAAGGTATTGTATACCTTTTTTTTCTCCCGCCTCATTCCTGACGCCTTCCGCTTCTTGCATTTCCGGAAGCTGGGGGGTCAGTGGATAGATGTGCGGATGACTTGCCCCTACACATGGATGTGCCATGATGATATATATATCCTGACCCTTGTATGTCTTTGTAGTTGGTCTACTTCGGGGAGACTTCTGGCCTCTGGCTCTGACGATCAGCACTTGAATATCTACTCCTATCAGCCTGATTCATCCACCGCACCCTTCTTCCTCAACACTACCATACAAACTGGTCACTCCGCAAACATATTTTCAGTAAAATTTATGCCACACTCCAATGACCGGACACTTGTCTCATGTGCAGGAGATTCCGAAGTCCGTGTTTTTGACATTGAGCACTCGGGCCGAATGTCTGTGTCATCAGAATTTGCTACTTCCGCGAGAAGTCGTCGGTTCAATAACTTTTTTAATGGAATGTGGTACTTGACAGACGCGAACACGAATGCTCGTGTATATAGATCCCATGCGGACCGAGTGAAACGAATCGTCACGGAGTCCTCGCCGTACCTGTTCCTCACTTGCTCAGAGGATGGTGAGGTTCGACAGTGGGATTTAAGACAGCCGTCTTCTGCATATCCTTCACCTCGTGGCGGGCAAGGTTTTATGGCTTATAGGCCCGGTCTTAACCATGATGACTCTAATGTTCCTCCACCGTTGATATCATACAAACGATATCACATCGACCTAAACAGTATATCCTGTTCCTCGAGTCAGCCGCAGTACATTGCTCTCGGAGGAGCACACTTGCACTGCTTCCTTCATGACAGGCGAATGCTGGGGCGTGACTTTCTTGCTGAACGAGGCAAGATGGGAAGTCTATCTCCTGGTCCCTGGAGTACTGATGATGATGCTATGAGTCAGGCAACTAGATGTGTTCGACGGTTTGCGCCCAACGCTCAGAAAAAAGTCAGATCTGGAGATAACGGCCATATCACAGCATGCAAGATAAGCGATGCCAACCCTAACGAAATAGTAGTCAGTTGGTCTGGGGATCACATATATAGCTTCGATATTATGCGCAGCCCTGATGCTAGAGATGCCAAGAATGCTGAAGAGCCAACTATTCAAGAAAACTCTCGTTCCAGAAAGACAAAAAAATCTAGGGCCCGAAAGCGGAAGCGAGAAAACACTAACCGTGCATCCAGGGCAAGTAGCAACAGATACAATTCACGGTTAAGATCTGGCGGTAGCCAAGAAGACCCAGATATGTCTTTTAGAGTCAGATATGGGAATGGTCGGTCAGAGGATATTTCACTTGATTCTCTCCCAGGAGGTATCCCTGGCGCTCCTTCAGAGCTGATAGAAAGAGCACGAGAGTCAGTTT